TGGAAAACGATTTACCGAGACTGTAAATAAGTAAATCGGTCGTTAACGACACTAATGCTTTAGTCATCTCGGAGCAGTCTTTCTGCAAACGTCTTTTTATGCCTCTTAGCTCATTTTTCGTAGAAGTCTAATGCTATTCTGTATTCGCGCCACTTTTTCACCATTCCAACTGTTCAGCATTTACACCTTCGGGTTTCTACCCTGGTGGTCCGTCTGTTTTTGTATGACTTAATTGAACAAGATGTTGGACAGTAAGCACGGCCTTATACGCAAGTCTGTTCATTTATAAGAATGCTTTTTATCCGTTGTACTGACAAACCACATCTTTATGAAACGCCTTCGGCCTTAACGCTGCTAGCGCACCGACGTTTGGATTATTTTAAATGAAGGCATTCCAGTTTCTTTTGGCCCTCTAACCACCCTATCAGCGCAATGTAATAAAAAACGTTTTCTCTACACAGATGCACCCAACGTCCAGCACTAGCGGCAAATCTGATCTGAACTTGGCGCAATCTTTCGGACGGTTGCCTGGCTGTATGCTCAGTGATAGTGAAGTAGTAGCCGAACAGGAGGCTGTTTTCTCGTTGATGGAATTGCTTGAGAAGGATCCTAAAGGGCACTCCTATTGTTTTTCATTATTGTTTACAGTAAAACCATTCATCCAGCCGATGGACCATTGCGTTCATTACTCGAAAAACATCCACCGGATTACCTTATACATTGTCTTCTGAAGTACTTTGAGACAGGTTCGCATATTTGCAATTAACTGTCCCTTTTGTTAGATGCGCTCGCCGCGGTAAAGATCATCGGAACACTTTTGTCCAGGATATCGTGCCCAGATTGCGTCCACGATTCCAGCATTTCCGAACTTTTGCTCTTCCTTCAGTGTCACTCTTCTGACTTATCCAAAGTACCACATGTCCACCTTTTTCATAAATAGGATACTTCTCTTTTCTCTACCTTTGATCTTCTAGCAAAAGTCCTCCAAGTCAGCCGTCCGCTCACACGAGACTTCACTCCGCCAAAATCGCTCTTGCATTATGGACAAATAGCCCTGAATTGTTTACAGACTAGAAGTGAGTTTTCCCCAATCAGCCCTTTAATCTACCTACTTGACGTCAAAGGAGATTTATTTTCGTCAAGGTTTGCTGGCCTTTTTATAAACAGGGTCACTCTTTTGGAGCCTAGGCATTGCCCAGTACCGTTTTTTCAACTTTGTAATGCACAACTCCGAATTCAATTGAGGCATTGCTTATCCCAGCCGAATGTGAAACTATCCTATGTGTCAGAAATGCATTTTCTCTCCCTCTTCCACACTCAGGTCTACCGTCGGCTTTGGAGAAGTTAGCTCCAATTCTGGAATTTGTTGTTGCATTGTCAAACTTCTCTGGTCAGTCGCTTAGATGGACTCGAACTCTTTCGTGTAATTGCTCCCCAGGGGAAACGGGGACTTCAAAACCAGACCGTAACAACAGCCCTTCGGACTCTCAGCTGCCTTTACGACTTCTGATGGTTACTGCAACGATAGAGCTTCGTTTGCGCCTGTCTACAGCCATGAACACAACCGAGGTAGACTGTTAGCCATACAAAACTATCTACTCTGTTAGAGCTGTTATTCGAAGTTAGCAGCTTTTGGATGCCGGAATGTTTCCTTTTATTAACTGATGACTTCTCTGTGATGTACACTTCCCCTTAACTTTTTGTTCGCACAAACGTATGCACTCAGTAGCTCTGTCTCTGGTGATGCCTATCTTTTAGTCCTTCGAGTCCACCCCGTCTCCGCATAAAATTTGCGTCGACGTTGTCACCAGGGCTACAGCATGCTTTGAAACTCATGATGCATTAGCAGACATCTTCAGCGTGAAAATATTACCCTACTAAGGATGCAGTACTGAAGTGGAAGCAAATGTTCGAGTTCCAGGTCTCTTTATTAGAAAGGAAGTAGGAGACAGATCAAGCACCGGAGTCATTTGCTTATATTTCTGAACTTTCGAACTCGTTCAGGAGTTCATTTTCAGAGGTGACAGCAATAACGAAACAGGCGCTCTTTATAGGAGTCATCAGCCAATCAACAACCAGTGCTGCAGGTCTGGAGGCGACTGTGCAGATCCCTGTATGCGGGCACCAGATCAGTGCATCGATTGATTGAGTTCTAATTCGAGACCTTGTCTTCGATCAACGCTCGGCATGGGGCTGCGAAGTTGTCACATCCGGAAGGTGTGGGCAACCTATTTTGAAAATTCTTCACCCCGTCGCGCGGCTAGCTTATACCTGTTTATGTGCTATCCCAGCGTGCGTTCGGTCTGGCCACCGTAATTACAAGAACAGTTTGGGCACGGTGTACAGTATTCTACAGTACACTGCCTCCTGCAGTTTAATTGACCCTTTATTTACATGAACCTGCTGCCGTGGTTGTTTTGGGCCGGTGTGCAGTCCAAACAGTCACAACAATGAACCCGGTCGCTTCTAAAGCGTCCTTAGTGTATAACCGAGCTTGTCATACCCTCGGTTGTGTTTCTGGTGGGGTCCTCTACGGGCGAACACGTGGGCATCGGTATATAGACGCCCTCAGATAGTCATTCTACTCACATTGGTTGCGGAGATATTGGGCCTCGGGTGCCTTTCTTTGGGGTTGCCGCAGGGAGCCTAAATCCGTCTGAAGAGCCTTCTCACTCGAGCTTTTGTTAGTCACCCAATGGTCCCTGTGAAAGTGAGAAGCTGCGTGGTGTTCGTTGCCTTCCTGTAGGTCGTCGTCTCAATTCTACCTTTAGGACTTCGACTGACAGGCACATCGGGGAAGAGCAACTGCTACTCTTTTTCTTCGCTCGCAAATTGTAAACCTCGGGGGACTGCGTGCAGGAGGCTATGGGAAGTCTTCTGAATGTTCCTCTGACGATGTGCTGAACCTAATGACGTCAAAAGACCGGCCCACGCTGGAGGAAGGCAGTCGTTTCTGGTTACTGTAGTGTCAGTTCGGCCACTGAATCGGAGATTGGGCAGCTCATTGGAATTTCCATGATTTGCTTATATTTATATTCAGAAAAGCTGAAGTAATGTTTTGGCAAAATTCGAGCAGCCTAATGAGGTGCTCAATCATGAGCGGGCTCTGAATTTCGTCGTACACCTCGTCAAGTTTCTTGCGTAAGGCTTAGTGAGCTAAATCCAATGGGGTGGAAATGAATAACAGCGTGACGTCAAAATAGACCGTGACTTCATCCGATTGAGTCCTACGACCTTGCAGGTCTAAAAGAGATTTAGAAGTTGATCGAACTGTGCTAGTCGAATTGCCATGAAGGAGCTTCAACCTTGAGTAAATAGACTTTGTCAACTTAAAGGTAGGGCAGTCTTTCAGTGCAAATATTAGCCTCAGTGACTTGTGGATCTTCGGTTTGCCCCTAAAACGGGCGAAGTGGTAGATGTGGTGGACAAACAGGGGTGCTACATAGGATTCTGGCAGACGTTACCGGGAACGCGTACCCATAACAGATGCGGAGTGCGATGGCAGGGCCCA